GGTTCGGCATTTGCTCCGTTCGAACTCGAAATGGCGCTCCCGCCCAGGACTTCCTCCCAAACAGAATTCGAAACCTTCGGGTTTGATTTCGAAATGGCGCTTCCGCCCAGGACTTCCTCAATCAAGACTACGATCAGAACCAATGTGATGCTCAAGCGTTGTTTAGCTGAAGACACAAAACGGGTCAAAACTTTCGTAGCGCCGATGTATGGGACATCCGTTGTCGATTCGGAGCAGCGAGCCCGTCGGGAGATAAAACGCTCTTGTGGAGCACCTGTCGACAAGCCAATTTGTTTATCTGCCTAACATGTTATCGGAACCACGCCGGCGACGCTTGTCTTACCCGCTTCGGCTGTCTGAAGAACCATGCTGTGGGTTCGTCGACTGGGCGATGCTGGAAGGAAACTGTAACAACGGCGCTGTGCCTTGAACAACAACGGCTTCAAACAACGTTGCTGTTTACGGAAAGAAAAGAGGAGAAGGAAGAGGAGAAGGAGCAGGACGACGACCCTAACTAAAATCGGCTCCTGGACCTCTCCGAAGTGCGTTTCGACCAGCAAGTCAAAGGAGTCCGATGTTTGCCAGCACGGACGCCGACCAATGAGTTTGTCCAGTCTGGATGTGGCAGCCATTAGGCGCAAGCTATGCGGAGCCATATATGCGGTGCACTCTATGGAGTGCAAGCTGTTTGGTGCAGGCTACGTCGTGCAACCGAATATGAGCTTGATGTCGCCAACTCCACTGCTAATCGCGCCCTTCCACACGCGACGTGTTTGGCAACACACATTCGGCCACGTTTGCGATTGCTGATCGGCACTTGCTAGCGCATATCTGTGGCCGTGCAGGCGCGCGCACGCTCGCGCGCAAAATGATCAATTGCAACTAATGAGGCCACGATGGCGCTTACCGATGGGAACTTCCCAATTCGTCTCAAAGACTGCGCTGGCGCGTGGGCACTCCAGTGCAGGTCGGTGGCCTATGCGGGCGCGATAACATGATGACGTCGACACAGGCGGCAACGACGATGATGATAGTGATGGTGGTGGCGATGATGGTGGTGACGACGGCAAGGCCAAAGACGGCGCCGATGCTGGTGACGACGATGACAGTGAGATGTCCATGCGTTGGTGATGAAACATATTGTGCTGATGATGGCGGCAGTGACGGCAAGTGGCGATGACGATAACGGCGGTGATGCGATTCGCTGAAGGTATTGAGGAAGTGCGCGCGTGCAACAATTCGCGAGATCTGGCAGACATTTGGCTGAACAACTTTGTCTTCGTTGTCCGCATGTTTTGGAAGAGATCTACCTTGAGACGTTTCGAAAACCAATGGTTTTGGACGGATTTGGACACGCGCGCGCGGCGACGCACGCAAATGGCCCGCATGGTGATATTGATAGGGAGTCGTGCGCTGGGCGCACGCTAGGGCAACGCGGATGCACCGCGTGGTGAGATGATTATGCGGTTTCTAGACGAGATTGCTAAAATCGTACCGTTAATTCTTACATGCCGTGCATGATGTGGTTTCGACATGTGCAGCCACATGTGGGCTTCGTTTTTCTGTTGCATGGAATTCGGAATTCGCGCATGGTCTTGTTTGACAGGGGTGAGGGGGTGTCAATACCAGGCTGACTGGGATGGTATGACATCATGTGCAAAATGCACGATGAAGCAGAAACGCATGTGCATTGCGATTCCAAAACATGCGCCATTCAGTTCGGGCTCGCGAGGGTGGTAGAGCTTATGGGCCGCGATGCAATTTGAAGATATTTACGACATCGACCCCAATGCTGGAACAAAGATCCACCCAGCCACCCGCAAATTCGTAGCAACACGCAAGTGGAACAATGACGCAAATACCCTTGAGGCAAATCCATAACTCGGGCAGGCGAGTCATGATGGTGACGGCGAATTCGGAGACGGCGGCGCGCAGAAATTCAGACACACTTTTCACTGAAGATCCATTGGTTTTCATATGCGCGCGGTCCTAAATTCTCGGTGTCGGCGCCGTTCGCAGGGGCGAGAGCGGGGAACGCGACGGTTTGGGGTCCTTCTGGAGCCCCAGATCTGGCCAGAATCGGAGCGTGTCCTTCAAAACGCCGGCCGCGGCATCCCCGATTTGATTTCATGACCGAAACTTTGGCCGACGCTCACGCGTGCGAATACCTCTGTGATGGCACGGCTAGAAAACCAGTGGTCTGCGAATGATTTCGACACGCACGCGCGGAGACTCGCGCGAGTGTGGCCCACATGGTATTTCGTGTGCAGAGATGGCGGGCGCGCGATGGTGTGTTGCATGCTCTCGACAGGAGCGCCCGCGCTTGGCCCGCAAACTCTCATGTGACGGAGTGGCGAATCCATGTACGGCTCTTTCGATTCAGCGAGCGCGCGCACACATAAATTTGCACTCTTACTGGAACCACAAAACATATTGTTGTTTGATGTCTTGTCAATTCGTGAGTTCTTGGAACACCAATGGCTCTGTACGGATTTCAGCACGTGCGCGCGCGTGCCCCGCACGCCACTTTTCCATTAATGGCGACTGCTGTAAAACGGTCCGAACTATTTTAAGACCATGGTCTTTTTCCGATTTTCAGTTTTTCTTTGTTTTGTTTTGTTGTTGTTGTTGTTGTTGTTCCCGGGGCAAGGTGCAAGCACCAGTGTCGAACACCGTCATACCCACAGGAGAACAGATGCGGAACGCAATGTTTAAGATGCGGCGATGCGCCATCCATCGTGTCGCATGCGCGCACAGAGTGCCGAGCAACGAGGAGCACTGTAGCAATCTCAATGTGCGAAGCAGCGAGGGCAAAGGGTACTCACGGCTTTTTCGTAAACAGGCACTGCGGGATCTCGTGCCACACCTCTCCTGGCAACACACTGGGGACTGCCGAATCTGCAAGCTTGAACTCGTGACTACCGGCGCGTTGTGTGATCCCACGGCAACAAGACGATATATGACCAACCGACAAGCCCAAAAGGCGCGCGGCTTCGGCCATCGATCCGTACCGCCTCCATGACTGCGATCCAACTATCCGTCCCCATACAGGTTTCGAGTTCGTTATTCCGGCACTTGAGCGTCCAAGCCACCATTTCTTGGAAAGGAGTGAGTTCTGCGACCGAGTCACGTACTCTAAATTACTTTTGGAATTATTTCCTTTATTGCTATCGATGTGATTGACCACAAGATGTTCTGAATAAAATGGTTGCCATAAAAAAGCTCGGGCGACGAGTCTATGTACGTCATGATTTCTTCGCCGGCCGTCGACTGTAATTCCTGAAACACGATAGCCATCTAAACCCTGTGAGCCGTACGAGACCAATCCGCGAGTAGATTTCATTCGTCCGTGGGAGCTGACCTTCCAGGTTGATAGCTCTGTGCCTGTGCATGGGTGTAGGGCAGGCCGCCACTCCTCGCCGGGCAAACATTGCGGAACGATGGATGCTCCATATCTAAACTCGTATCCCTTTGCTGAGGATACCCTGCCCTTGCAACACATGAAGATTTGTCTGGGGTGAACGCCCGTTTCGCGGGACGCTAGGCGCACAGAGGAGTGATCGGTCCAGCGGCCTTGTCCAGCCCATCTGCTGAGGACCGGTTTGGAGAGTGCATCTGCGGAAGTTCTGCGAGTACTGTTCGCTGCATACGAATGGAGGATGTTCTCGGAACGTGTGACGAACTCCAAATTATCAACATGGTTGTTACCACGATCACGGTCCTTGTGATTCACATCGCAATGCTGCGTCGAAGGCGGTGGCCCCAAGAAAGCATGGGCCACCAATCGATGCACATAATTAAGGCTTCCACCAACACCAGTAATGTAGTATCCTGCGTCGTTCACACAACCCCAAGTGATGATTCCAAACTTGCTTCGAATGCGACCGTGGGAACTGACCGCAGCCGCCCCCATTGACGATATAGAGAAACGCCTGGGGAGAAATGAGCAGGCACCCGAGCAGGCAAAACCATAACCAAGGCGTGCTCTCACACAGGGCAGGAGCATACAGCGCAGCCTTGGTCCCGGATATCATGGAAGCAACGCGTAGCACTTCAGCAAGCTCCTCGGCCCAAGGTGGCTTAGGCCAATCTGGCTTGAGCCAAAATGGCTTGAGCCAAAATGGCTACGGATGGTCTTTTCCGACTTTCAGAATGCAGTTCCTGTCTCTACAATGCAGAATGTGCAGCTCGCGTGCTGTGCCGTGCAGTGTCCGCGTGCCGTGATTGGTTTTGAACATGTGAAAAGTGTGCGGTGCCGTGCCATGCCTGATTTTCAAAATGCGAAATACTTGCCGTGCCGTGCCGTGCCGTGCCTGGTTTTTCACAATGCGAGGAAGTTGCCGTGCCATGCCTTGTTTTGCAGGCTGGAAAAAACGGAGAGAGCGTGATCCGCCGCCGCTTTACTGTGAAAAATTCCCCCTCCTCTTCCTCCGGAACCCGGGCCCCCCCCCCCCCCCCCCCTTCCCCCGGCCCCCCCCCCCCCTAACCTCTCCCCCCCCTCTCCAGAAAACCGGGGGGGGGGTCACTAACGGTTCGAGCCCCCCCCCCCCCTCTGGAAAACCGGGGGGGGGGTCACTACCGGTTCGAACCCCCCACCCCTCCTCCAGAAAACCCGGGGGGTCAATACCGGTTCGAACCCCCCCCCCTCTCCGGAAAACCGGGGCGGGGGGGTCACTACCGGTTCGAACCCCCCCCCCTCCGGAGGAAAACTGGGGGGGTCACTACCGGTTCGACCCACCCCCCTCCAGAAAACCAGAAGGGGGGTCACTACAGGTTCGAACCTTCCCACCCCTTTCCTTCTGGAAAACAGGAGGGGGTCACTACCGGTTCGAACCCCCACCCCCCTCCAGAAAACGGGGGGGGTCACTACCAGTTCGACCCCCCCCCCACCCCACTCACCGCCGGCAAACAACTCCCGGGTCCCCACCACCGTCCGCACCACATCCCCCACTGCTGTCCCCAACACCAGTCCCCACCACCACTGTCCCCACTGTTCCCACCACCGTCCCCACTGTCTCCATCAGTGCCCCCACCACTGTCGCACTGTCCCCACTGTCCTCACCACTGTTCCCACCACGGTCCCACTCTCCCCACTTTCCCCACTGCCCCCACCACTGCCCCACTGTCGCCGATGTCCCCACTGTCCCACTGTCCCCGTCGCTGTCCCACTGAGCTGTCCTACTGTTCCCACCACTGTCCCCACTGTCCCCACCACTGTCCCCACTGTGCCTCTGTCCCACTGTCCCACCACCGTCCTCGCCACCGCCCTCACCACTGTCCCCACCACCACTGTCCCCACCACTGTCCCACTGTCCCCACACCACTGTCCCCACCACCACCACCGTCCCCGCCACTGTCCCAGTATCCACACCACTGTCCCACAGTCCCCACTGTTCCCACCCTTGTTCCCGCTGTCCCCACAATTGCCCCCACCAGTGTCTCAGTGTCCCCACTCTCGCCACCATTGTCCCACCACGGTCCCACTCTCCCCACTTTCCCCACGGTCCCCACCACTGTCTAACTGTCCCCAGTGTTTCCACCACTGCCCCACTGTCCCCACTGTCCCCGCCGCTGTCCCACTGTGCTGTCCCACTGTCCCCACTGTTCCCGCCTCTGTCCCACTGTCCCCACCACTCTTCCCACGGTGCTACTGTCCCACCACCGTCCTCACCACCGCCTTCACCACTGTCCCCACCACCACCGTCCCCACCGCTGTCCCACTGTCCCCACCACTGTCCCGCTGTCCCCACTGTTCCCACCATTGTTCCCGCTGTCCCCACCAGTGCCCCCACCAGTGTCTCACTGTCCCCACTCTCGCCACCATTGTCTTACCACGGTCCCACTCTCCCCACTTTCCCCACGGTCCCCACCACTGTCCCACAGTGTTTCCACCACTGTCCCACTCCCCACTGTCCCCGCCGCTGTCCTGCTGTGATGTCCCACTGTCCCCACTATCCCCACCACTGTCCCACTGTCCCCACCACTCTCCCCACGGTGCTACTGTCCCACCACCGTCCTCACCACCGCCTTCACCACTGTCCCCACCACCTGTCCCCACCACTGTCCCGCTGTCCCCTAGCCACTGTCCCACCACCACCGTCCCCACCACTGTCCGCACCACTGTCCCACTTTCCCCACCACTGTCCCCACCATTACCGTCCCCACCACTTTCTTAGTATCCCCACCAGTGTCCATCTGTCCCGAGGTGCGGGAATCGTTCGCCGGCGGCGAAGGGGGGGGGGGGGGTCGAACTGGTCGGTAGTGACCACCCCTGGGTTTTCGAGGGGGGGGGGTTCGAACTGGTAATGACCCCCCCCCTTCCATGATGGACTGGTGGGGGGGGTCTCGAACCGGTAGTGACCCCCCCTGTTTTCGAGGGGGGGGGGGACGGGTTGGGAACTCCCAGTGACCCCCGCCGGTTTTCTGCCAGCAGCGGTAGAACACGTTCTTTCAAAAAGCGCAATACCATGCTTGGCAGAATGCCAAGACATTGCCGTGCCGTGCCGTGGCGTGCCATGCCGTGCATTCAACATACGAAACAATTGCTGTGCCGTGCCATGCCTGGTTGACAAACTGCGAACAAATTGCCATGCCGTGCCCGATTCTCAAGATGCGAGAAAAGGTGCCGTGCCATGCAATGCCTGGCTTTACGAATGCAGCACAATTGCCGCAACGTGCCGTGCCGATGTGGTGTCTTATCATGCATCGGTGGCGTCTAGGGTCCCATGCAAATGTAGTCTGGCAGGGGTGGTGGGGGGTGACAATACTTACCGGACGGCGGCGCATGTTACTAGTTCATGGTTGAAATTACGCGGGCCTGTGGGCCGTGAAAATTCCGCGCAAGGTGTGGCACGGCAGCCCTTGAGCATTCTGTCAACCAAACACGGCACCGCACGGCACTTTTGTTTGAAATTTGAGAATCTGCCACACCTCTGTACTTTTTCGCATTGTCGTGCCCCAAAAACGGGACGGAATGGTACGCGGGCACGGCATGGCAACTTTTCCGCATTCCAGGCACGAGACGGCACGACACGCTGGCACGGCCCCGCGCGGTTTCGCAATCTCGAAACCAAGCACGGGACGGCGGCAAACACGTCACGGCACGACAACTTTCCCGCGTTGCCCTCGACACCGAGCACGACACGGCATGGCACGCGGGCGAGGCACGGCAAGTCTGTCGCATTCTCGAAGCCAAGCGCGGCACGGCACGCGGGCACGGCACCCTTTCCGCAACCTCGAAACGAAACACGGCTCCGCGCGGCACGCGGGCAAGGCTCGGCACGGTACATGTGTTTTCGCATTCTCGCAACCACGCGTCGCACGGCACGGTGCGGCACGCGGGCACGGCAACCTGTCCACAATCACAGCACGAAGCACGACGCGGCATGGCACGCGGGCGCGGCGCGGCGCGGCGTATGCCTTTGCATTCCTGAAACCATGCGCACGGCACGGCATGGCACGCAAACGCGGCACGGCACGACACGCGGACACTCCAACTCTTCCGCAATCTCGACACAAAAGACGGCACAGCACGGCATGCAAGCACATGACTGCACGGCATCTTTTGGTATTCTCGAAGTCAAACACGGCATGGCACGGCATCTTTATCGTATTCTCGAGACCGAACACGGCACGGCACGCGGGCACAACACGGCAATTTTGTCGCATTCTCGAAATCAAACACGGGACGGCACCGCAAGCGGGCACGCGTGCACGGCACTGCGATGTTTCCGCAATCTCGTAACCGAGCACGGCACGACACGCGGTCACGGCACGACAATCCCATCGCATTCTCGAAACCAAGCACGGCCTGGCAAAGAACGGCACGCGGGCATGGCACGGTACGGCAACATTTTCTTCGCACTCTCGAAACAAAGCACAGCACGGCACGCGGGTACAGCACGGCACGCTGGCGGCACCGATTTTGCAAGATCGTCTTCTTGAAACATAATTGGATCCCTTACAGCATTTGCTGCTGAAAGGATGACCGGTCGCGCAGAAGACGCATGAAACACCCACATGACGCCCACGGGGGGCCACCAAGCAGACAACCCAGAATCGCAAGCCACGTATTCAGGAACTCAGCAAGGCCCACTGAATGCGAGCACTGTTTGGGAAACCGTGGCGACGAGAAGTCTCCCAGAGGCCGCAAAAGGGCGAAGCACATCCAGAGACCTCGACCATCGATCCTCACATCTCGAACGATCGGCATCGACGACGGCGACGACGGCGACGACAGCTTGTTCTGAAGGATAGTGGTTCCAATGGAAACAGGCCCTGGTCCCATGGTTTTCCAGGATATAATTTTATCTTCAAGTTCTTGACGCCCAATGGCCCTGGGAGTGCCCAGGGATGCCGACACTTGAGAAACACTTGCGTGAAGCCTTTACTCCAGAACGCCTTTCTTCATGGTGACGACGACGACGGCGACAGGAGGTCCCTGGAGGCCCTCCAGAAGTCCCCTACAGGCCTGAGAAGGCCCCCCGAAGGCCCTCGGAGGCCAAAGCTGTCGACGGCTTGACGACGACGACGACAGCGGCGGCGGCGTCGACGACGACGACGAGGGGGACGGGCCACACGCAGCTGCCGCGGCCGCGGTGGCCGCCAGGAAGCGGGCGCGCACGCACGCGCGCGAGGGGGCAGTGCGGCGGGCAGCCTGCGATTGCTGGCGCTCCGCCAGCGCGGCCTGGCGGCGGCCGCGCCCCCGCGACGCGCGGCCGAACCCGGGTGGCGTCCGGCGGCCCTCTGCGAGCCTCTGGAGGCCTTCGGTGGCCTGACTCCCCGAAGGCCGCCAGGGGCGCCGATGGCCATCGGCGGCAGTCGGCGGCCACCGACCATCCAGGCACGGTGGCGGGACGGGCCGAAGGCAACTGGATCCGCCGCCCCCTGTGGTCTTGCCACAGGGGTGCCCGGCGTGCTGGACGATTCAGGTTTTGGTTTTGGTTCTTTTTCTAAAAGAACTCCCCAATGGGCTTCGGCCCGTCCCGCCGGCCACCCGTAAGTTTCCGAAAATCCATCTGTCAATGCCTTTGTTGCCCCAACTTGGCCCAAGATGGCCTCCAAGACGGCCAAGATGGCCCAAGATGGCCTCCAAGATGCCTCCAAGACGGCCAAGATGGCCTCCAAGACGGGTAAGATGGCTCCAAGATGCCTCCAAGACGGCCCAAGATGCCCTCCAAGACGGCCAAGATGGCCCCAAGATGCCTCCAAGATGGCCCAAGAGGCCTCCAAGACGTTCTCCAGGAGAGCCCGAAGAGGCCAAAATCATTGGTTTTCCTTAGGTTTTTCAAGGTTTTTTGCGTTTTCTTCTTTTCGGCCTTCCGACGGCCCAAGAGGCCCCCAAGATCGCCCAAGAGGCCTCCAAGAAGGCCCTATGACGGCCCAAGGGCCCCCCAAGACGGCCCCAAGAGCGCCCCAAGACGGCCCAAGAGGCCTCCAAGACGCCCAACATGGCCTCCAAGACGGCCCTGAAGCGCCCCAAGAGGGCCCCAAGACGGCCCAGAGAGGCCCCCAAGACGGCTCCAGACGGCGTCAGACGGACCAGGAACGCCCTAAGACGGCCAAAGAGACCCCCAGGAAGCCCCCAAAGGCCCCCAAGAGGCCCAAGGAGGCCCCCAAGATGCCTCCAAGAGGCCTCGAAGAGGCCCCCAAGAAGCCCCCAACAGACCCCAAGGGTGCCCCAAGAGACTCCTAACAACCCTCATCCTCCTACTCTATTTCTTCCTCTTCCTCTTCCTGTTCATAATCATTCTCTCCCATGTGTTCCCCGAAAGCTTTCCAAACCGACTCGGGGAACTCATGGTCCGATAGCTTGGCCAAGCTCTAATCCAACTTTCGGCCACCTCGGCGTCTCCAAAAAGGCAGGGGGCGGCGGTGATTCGCCGTAGGCGTCTTCGATCCGCCGCCCCCGGGCGATTCATTGCAGGGGTGCCCGGCGTGCCAGGCTTCTGGCAAGTCTTGGTTCTTTTCTGAGGAACTCCCAGCAGGGTCTCGGCCCAGCCAGCTGGGCACCCGGAAAACCTCCGGTTCGTAGGTCTTTCTAGCCCAGATGGCCTCCCAAGGCGGCCAAGACGGCCTAAGACGATGAAGGGCCCAAGATGGCCTCCAAGATGGTCAAGATGGCCCCAAGACGTGCCAAGATGTCCTCCAGACGGCCCAGGAGATCCCCCAGACGACCCAAGAGGGCTCCAAGAGGACCTCCAAGAAGCCAAAGTCATTGATGATCGTAGGGTTTTTCGACGATTTTAGCGTTCTCGCCTTTTCGGGCTTCCGACGCTCGGGCCCATAGGCCCCCGAGATCGCCCCAGGAGGCCCCCAGGAGGCCCGCAAGACGGCCCAAGAGGGCCCCAAGGCAGCCCAACATGTCCTCGCCGCAAAACTGCGCGCCTTCGCCCTGAATGCTTCCAACAGCCCATCTGATCGATGATCCCGGAGGCTCCTCGATGGTGCTCGCCGCAAAGAAAAATGCACACGTCCGAGCCATGCCAAGCCTGACGGAAGGCAGCTCCTCTGCAAGACAGGGGGGGCCCTCGCCCCCCGAGACCTCCCCAGCTCGTGCGGCAGGACGCGCAGCGCCGTGAGCCATTGATTTGGAGAGCATCTCCTTTTTTCCAAGCGGGGCCCTCGCGGGACAACTCCCTGCTCTCTCCAGCCCTTCCCCCTGGTCGCCCCCATACGCAACCTGCAGCCCTCCTCCCCCTCCTCCCCCTCCTCCCCCTCCTCCCCCTCCTCCCCCTCGGAACTCCACACGCAGACTGAAGGCGCACTCCTGGCGCGGCACCTTCGCCAGAGCGTGGGCCACCGCGAGGAGCCAAGACGTTTCCGGTATCGCGCCTTTGCTTGCTGGTCGCTGTATAATTAGGCTCGCGCGTAGCCCGCCCGACCTCTTCGGACGCCGCCTGCGCTTCCGCTTGCGGCCGCGACAAAAAAAGTGGAGCCAAAAAACGCAACGTGCTGACACGGACGCTTTGCGCACGATGCGTGCTGCGTCTCTATGGGCGGGCGCACCGAGGCAGCCAAACTCCTGCCTCTTCGCGCTGTGCCGGGGGGGCCGGTGCTGCTCTTCCAGACGGAGCAGGCGCCTGAGTGGCAGGCCTGTGGGGGGCTCGTCCTAGTGAGCGGGAATGCCCTCATGGCGGTGGGTGGATGGGGACCTTCGGAAGGGAGGGTGTCTCACAGCATCGTTGATGCATACTGGGCTTGCTCTGGTCCTGCTCCCCCTCACCCTGCCGAGTCGACTCCTGGGCCTCTCTCTTGGGGCGCGCTCCGACTGGAATCTCGAGGGGGCACTGGTCGCGGCCACGAGAGGCCTTTCGTAGGCCAAAACACATTCTGGGACGTCCATCCTCGGACTTCGATCATCCTCATTCTTCCCCTCCTCCGTTCTCCTGCTCCTCCTTCTCCTCCTCCTCCTCCTCCTCCTCTTCTTCCTCCTCCCTTACGCCACTGCCCTTCTCCTCCCCTCTCTTCTCTAGAGTTCTCTGGGGCCTCCCAGAGGTCTCAAGAGGAGATCTCCCGAAGTCCCCGCTCTCCCCCGGAGCCCCGAGAGGGGGCCCTCGGGCGCCCAGAAGACCCGTTCCTCGATCCTGGGAGCTCCTCGTTCCCTCCTCTAAGATCCGCTCGCAATCTATGCTTGGATCCCTTCCCGTTTTTTTGTTTTTGTTTTTGTTGTGTTCTTTGTTTTTGTAAAGCAGCGTGGCTCCCCATGACTTTGACATCTTCCCAAGGACTGGCTTCTCATCCCGAGCCGTTTTGTTGCTATTGTTGTGGTTGTGGTTGTTGTTATTATTGTTGTTATTGTTGTTGTTGATGTTTTGGTTGTTGTTTGTTTATTCCTTCTTCTTTCGGTGACTGATATCATTCTTATTATTACTACCATTACTCTTGTTATTGTTAATACTTTTAAAACGACCCCCAGACCCAAGAAGGCCCTCGAGAAAACGGCAACTGCCAAATTTGTTTTGCCGTGATTATTCCACCACGCGAAGGCTGGAGGGTCCCAGGGTCCATGCTGGCCGATTGTTTCGACCTGCGGCCACCGGTGGCGACGAGAGCGTCCAGGGGCGCACAGGCACCTCCGAAACGGCGAAGCTGACGATCCTCGATCCTCGACCCATCTTTCGTCGCCGTCGCCGCCTCGAGCTGTGCGGAGGAAGAGCGAGGCGGAGGAGGAGGAGGAGCGAGGGAGAGGATACCTCTTCAAAGGTCCCCATAAAAGATAGATTGTCGTTGCGGGAAATGCCCCATGGGAAGACAACCGTCTCAGAACCCTCAGTGTTGCCAAATACCAATCATGGGACTTCAACGCCGCGCACCACAATGACTGCTGCGTCCTGACAACCCGAAATCGTGCCTCAACACCCGTCCTGGGACTCCATACCGCGAATCAGCGTGACGATTGCGTCCGGACCATCCTAAATCGATCCAGGACGTACTTCAGCCATACGAGCCCTTAAACCGCCGCAAGCTTTTGAGACACATGTGCGCGGAGATACTGCGAGAGTCACATTTTGAAGCCGCCCTCCTTTCTTGAAGCTGTCGCAAAATAAGAAACGAATGTGCTCGGCGCAGAAGCGAGAGCCAGCCACAGTTTAACACACGGACCGCCCTACATCTGTGAAGCTACCGCAGCACGTAAAAAGTAATGCGCGCGGCGCCGAAGCGAGATCCACACTTTAAAAAGGGCCGCCATCCATCTTTGAAGCTGTTGCCACACTTAAAACGAATGTGTGCGACGCTAAGGTGAGAACCTCATGTCGAAAACGGACCGCCCTCCATCCGTGAAGCGGTTGCGCGGCGCTGAAGCGAGAGCCACATTTTGAAAACCATCCGCCCTCTATCCTGGGAGCTGTTGCAAATTTCACACTTCAAGATCAGAAATGGTGGGCGTGCTCGCATGGCGTCCCCGCGCCCACTTCGGCACACTTCTCACGCCTCCTCCTCCTCCTCCTCCCCTCCTCCTCCTCCTCCCTCCCTCCTCCTCCCTCCTCCTCCTCCTCCTCCCTCCTCCTCCTCCTCCTCCCTCCCTCCCTCCCCTCCTCCTCTCCTCCTCCTCCCTCCTCCCCTCCTCCTCCTCCTCCTCCTCCCCTCCTCCTACTCCTCCTCCTCCTCCTCCTCCTCCTCCTCCTCCTCCTCCTCCTACTCCTCCTCGAAGAGGAGTGTGAAAGCGACGACGACACAGACATCCGACGTCGTGAACTCCTGGCAACGCGGCGCCTCCGAGGTCTGAGCGCCTCTTCCTGGGGAGCTGCTTTCCATCCCGAGCCGTTTTTCTTTCCGGTGCTTTCTCCGAGGGGGCCCCATAAGAAAGGCCCCCTCGGAGGCCGAAAATGGCCCAAAGCCCGCCGTCGTCTTGTTTGACAGCGCGCGGTCTGGGGAGCACAGAAATTACGACGTCCTCGTCCTCGTCCTCACTCTCGTCTTCCTCCTCTTCCTCTTCCTTGAGGAGGCGGACGACGACTACGACACGCCCCTCAACAATCCATCCACCCCGAGACCTCTCTTCGGTGCGTTTTGAACAAGATTTCGAAGGGAGTCCAGCCGTGGCGACTAGAAGCCTCTTAGAGTCCCCCAGAAGGACGAAACACGTCCAGATATCTCGAATCTCGATCCTCCTCTTCGCGGAGTTCGAAGAGGAGGAGGGAGGAGGAGGAGGAGTAGGAAGACGACGACGACGATGTACCAAGACGCGAGAAGGTCTGGCCTTCGCGCCGCAGCTCGGGTCTCCGGCGGCCGCACGGGACGACTCGGGCACCCCTGGGAACGCTAAGCCCAGACATCCGACGCCCTCATGTTTTCAAGACGGGGTCCCCGGGAATCCCGGCCCTTTCTCTGGCCATCGCTCGGACGTCCATTCCCTGTGTTTTTTTCGGTTTCGTGCGTGGTTTTCTCGCCAAATGGTCAAGGATGCTCCTCGATGGTCCTCGCCGAAGGAAAAATGCACACGTCCGAGCGATGCCAAGTTCCCCAGGGCCACTGCTTCATGCCGAGCCATTTTCGGACGCCCCCGGGGTCCAGCGACGGGCCACAAACGTTCCAACGTCGCGTCCTGGTGGAGCACGACGACCGCGAGGATGCCCGGACCCAGATCAGATCATTGGATGCCCGATGTTTTCGTTCGCGATCGGTAGCGATCGATCGGCACTCCGAATCGGTCGCGACCTTGGAGGTCTCGGGGGGTGCAGCTTTGTCTCTAGGGCCAGATCCCGATACGCTCGGCCAGAGCGCTTGATCCGTGAAAGGCAGTCCGTACGACCCCCATTCGCAAGAAGTTCGGATCTTATGTTTGCTCTTACCGACGATCGTGCTGCTCAGTTGCTCTTAACCTGCAAGCATTACCCCCTCCTCCTTCGCCACATAGACACAGATCGCTGTCCCTCGGCGAGCTGCAATCGTGATCGATTTTGAAGCCAATCGGTCGCGACCGATACCAGAACTTGCGGCGGATTATGAAGCAGAATTGACGGGCTTCTACTGGCCCGGGTCAGTGTAGCCCTGGGCCAATCAAGCTTTGCAGAATACTGCGCCATCCCGGAATACTTTGCGTGTGCGGCTGGTCCAGTGCAAGCCTGGCTTTGCAAGATCCTGCAAACTCCGGCGCTCCAGCCCTCGTCTCTGCTAGCTCGGCAACGGTAGCGACCAATCTCGCCGGCTTGGGCGCCCGAGTTATCCGGGGTAACTCGGGTCCGGGGTAACTCGGGTTTGGATTCCCGAAGAAGGAACCCGAGTTGGCCCTGACCCGAGTTACCCCTGATGATGTGGGGCTCTGGACGCCCGAATTATCCGGGGTAAGTCGGGTCCGGGGTAAGTCGGGTTCGGAATCCCGAAAAACGGACCCGAGTTACCCCTGATGATTCGGGGCTCTGACCGGCCGCGACCAGAAAAGCTCTGGCATCCGATGGCCAATTCGGGCGGGGGCGACTGGCCGCCGCCGGCCTCGAGCTGTGCGGTGCGGGCCTCCCGGTCCTGCAGCTCGCACGCGCGGCGGGTGCTCTCCTCGACCTGGGAGGAGGCAGAGGAGGAGGAGGAGGAGGAGGAGGAGGAGGAGGAGGAGGAGGAGGAGGATGAGGAGGAGGAGGAGGAGGAGGAGGAGGAGGAGGAGGAGGAGGAGCAGGAGGAGGAGGAGAGGAGGAGGAGGAAGGAGGAGGAGAAGGAGGAGGAGGGAGGAGGAGGAGGAGGAGGAGGAGGCGGAGGAGGAGGAGGAGGAGCCGCGATCGCTCGATCCCGCCCCCGTTTGCCCCGCAGGGTGGGCCGAGGTGGCGGCCAGCGCAGCCATCACAGGCCCATTCGGCCCGCGATAGACGACACCTTTGACCACAAGGACCGTTGCTCTCGTCCCATGCTTGGGGCCACGCCGACAACGACATCAAGATCACGCAACCCCGCCTGGCACAGGCGACTACGTCGGCAACGCGCTGACGCACGATTTTCTACGGCTTCACAGAGCACGTGAACCACTCCAAATTCATATTGCACAACAGCCACCGCGACACCCACCTCAGGCTCCAACCATGTCTGCACCACGAGGATCAACCGCGAGTGGTTCGGGAACTGCGCCATCACCCTGGAGATCGACATCGAGCCGCACTCCAAGCAAAGGACAGACATCACGTACAACTACACTGGCAAGTGGAGCAGGCCTCGAGCGCTGGAGGCGCTACAACTGGACGGACGGGCGAAGGACCACCCCGACAAGTACTGGAACCAGACTTACGGCGGGGAGGGCAACAACCTCACTGGCAAGGGAAACGCCACCAATAACGACTACGAGGCCGACAAGCAGAGCCATAAGGGCAAGAACAAGACCAATCAGGGAAAGGGCAAAGCAAAGGCACAACCCGATCCGGAAAAAAAAAAGGACACGAACCAGGACTACAACGATTACATCACCAAGACCATCAACAAAGTCATGCCGATGAGGAAGATCTACGCCACCAGGAGACACGACTGGGAGATGCCACTAAACGACCCCATGTTGAGACAGCTTTGGAACAAAATCACATAACTGGAGCAGAGGAGTGCTGCAACAGATCTCGCAACAAAAAAATCAGCAAGCTTGCCCACGACCGATGCAGTCACGCAGATCGCCATCAAAAAAGCCATGATCCTTAAACTAATGCCCCAAGCCCAGCAGGCAAGGGATATCGACAACACCAGGAGGACCATGGAGGACTCCTACGAGCAAACCCGAGAAAAATGAGGAGCTCAACATTTTGCAGCGTGACCTTGGCAACACCAGGAACGACAACTACAGCGAAACAGGAGCTGCCGACGACGACACCGATTAACCACAAAAAATACACCGCGAATGAGAAAGCCCACACCGCGAAGAATGCATCGCAAGGACAGACGAGGGCTGGGGAATCTATCGAAGGACAAGACATCGGCACCATGCGCAGGACGCTGAAGGAAGACAACCAGCGCATGGCAACCTACATCAAACAATCAAGGCAGAAATTTCCAACGATATGTGCGCCTCAAGAAGCATTTGCGCGAAGCGGAGGAATCGGCTCATGAACATGGCGAGAAGCGAGATACCGAAGCAACAATAGCCCAACAAACTACAAGGAGTGCATGAACGAGATGCACAGCTCCAAGCTCACCACCGAGAGTATGGCTGCTCACCGCGAAAGTCAGCAAGAGAGAAACAACACCGCAACCCTCACCAAATTAGAGGAGCTTGCGGCCGTCAATGCCGACTCCAAGACCGACCACGGCCATGAATTTATTGTCCAGCTGCAGACAGAGCTAAGAGAGGCGCACCGCAGACTCATCCACAACAAAAAGGACTGCACCTTAATGGAGCAACACTTTCTGGAAACTCGAAAAAGGCAGCACAACACAACATCAAGGAACAAAACAACATGTCCGTCCACAATTAGTGGGCTAAGAAGGAACACGAGAGACATACGGCACATGAGAGGCTACGCGCGAAACAGATACAATGTAACCGGCAATATGTGGTGTACGTGGGGAATGGCAGCATGATGTCTACGACATCGAGCGCCAGGTCAGGAGCAGAGATGCAGAAAACAACACAACAACAAAATAATTATCTACGGAAGGTGCCGACCGACATGAACGCACGCGAGCAGCAGGCGCATTGCAAGGCGCTACAGGCGGAGGGACACGTACAACTCGCGGCTAAAATGGGCACACCAGAGCAACATTATACATTCCAACAATACAGATATACCGCAGGACGGAAAACGATTTGAGGTCCTGCCACACATACAACCTCTGACGCCTCACCAGGAGCCCGCATCCTGCTCCTTCCTCCTTTACGGTCTGCCCTGCGCGGGGCCCCGCACGGGCGCCTCTGCGCCCCGTCGCCTGGGATGGGGGCGCTCGGCTCAACGGCTTCGACCACCCGCGCGTCCGTGGCCCTGAGCGGAGGCTGAGTTCGGTCGAGGGAAACGCCCGCCCGCGCGTCTGCGGCCTCGCGCCTGAACTCGCATCCCCCTCCCTGCAGGGTCTGCCTCTGACTGGGCTCCCCACGGGCGCCACCGCGCCCCGACGCCTGCAGCTGGGAGGGGGCTCTCATCCCAGGGGCTTCAACCACCCATGCGTCCGTGGCTCTGAGCTCGGTCAAGGGCATCGGCCACCCGCGCGTCTGCGGCCTTGCTCCAGAGCTCTCGTATCCCCCTCCCTTCCAGGTCTGCCATGCAGCGGGCTCCTCAAGGACGTCGACGCGCCCCGAAGTCGCTGAGGAGTCACACCACCCTGGGGCATTGGCCACCCGCGCACCCGCGGCCCAGAATGGAGGCTGGACCTGGTCGAGGGCCTCGACCACCCGCATGTCGGCGGCCTCGCGCCAAGGTCCGCTGCCCTCTGTCAGGGTCTGCCCTTGCCAGGACTCCCCAAGGACCGCTGCAAGCCCCCCAAACTCGCCGCCTCGCCTTCTGCGAACCAGCTGGTCCGTGCACCAATCCAGTAAGCGTCCCAACTCCACCCAATGGTGCTCGGCGAAGGCGTTCCAAACCGCTCTCGTGAGCGGACGCAAGTCTGTCTGCTGCGGTGGCCGCGCCGCCAGGCCTCGCGGCGTGCGTCCATGGCAGCCTGCTCCAGCTCCCCTGGGTCTTCGGGCCCGCCTGCCCTGCGAAAGCTGGGACAGTATCTGGCTATGGTCGCTTTGCGCAATCTGGTGCTGGTGGGCTCGCGCAAAAAAAAACACGCTCAAATATACCACGCGCGCACCAGTGCTGCCAGGTCTCCTGATCCAGCGAGACCTCTTGATCTAGGTCCCACACCCAGCGCGTGCTCCAACTCGCCATTGACTGTAGGAAACGCTGCCTGTGCCTGTCAGGATCTTGGCGCGGCATCGCTTCGGGCGGCAGCCTGCCCACCGACTGCAGCCCCTTGGGGCCGTTAAAGGCCCCCTCGCTTTCCGCTGGCCCAGCTCTGCCCTGGCAGCGTCCAGAGCCGCCTGCAGCTCCCCTTGGCTTGGCACTGCCGCAGGTGCCGCGGGGGCGACAAGGAGGAGGAGGAGGAGGAGGAGGCGGAGGAGGAGGAGGAAGAGGAAGAGGAGGAGGAGGAGGAGGAGGACGAGGACGAGGACGAGCATGAGGACGAGGACGAGGGCGAGGACGAGGACGAGGACGAGGACGAGGACGATGATGCTGATGATGCTGATGCTGATGCTGATGCTGATGATGATGATGATGATGATGATGATGATGATGATGATGATGGTGGCGATGAGGAGGAGGAGGAGGAGGAGGGCGAGGAGGAGGAGGAGAAGGAGGAGAGGAGGAGGATGATGTAGTAGTAGGAGGAGGAGGGGGAGGAGGAGGGGGAGAAGGAGGAGGAGGAGAGGAGGAAGAGGAAGAGGAGGAAGAAGGAGGAGGATGAGTAGTAGTAGGAGGAGGGGGAGGAGGAGGAGGGGGGAGGAGGAGGAGGAGGAGGAGGAGGAGGAGGAGGAGGGGGAGGAGGAGGAGGAGGAGGAGGAGAGGAGGACTGATGCTGATGCTGCTGCTGATGATGCTGATGATGCTGATGATGCTGATGATGCTGATGATGCTGCTGATGATGATGATGCTGATGATGAGATGATGATGATGATGATGATGATGATGATGATGATGATGATGATGATGACGATGGTGGCGATGAGGAGGAGGGCGAGGAGGAGGAGGAGGAGGAGGAAGAGTAGGAGTAGGAGGAGGAGGGGGAGGGGGAGGAGGAGGAGGAGGAGGAGGAGGAGGAGGAGGAGGAGGAGGAGGAGGAGGAGGAGGAGGAGGAGGAGGAGGAGGAGGAGGAGGAGGAGGAGTAGGAGTAGGAGGAGGAGGGGGAGGGGGGGAGGAGGAGAGGGAGGAGGAGGAGGAGGAGAGGAAGGAGAGGAGGAGGATGAGTAGTAGTAGAGGAGGGGGAGAGGAGGAGGTAGGAGGAGGAGTAGGGGGAGGAGGGGGAGGAGGAGGAGGAGGAGGAGGAGGAGGAGGAGGAGGAGGAGGAGGAGGAGGAGGAGGACGAGGAGGAGGAACCCGCGAGGAGCAGCCCGCGCGAGCGGCGCGTGCTCTCCTCGGCCTCTCGCGCTCGGCCCGCGCTCCGGCCGGGCCACGGGCCCCCGCCGGCTCGGCGCGCGGGCGGGGGCCGCCGCCCCGGGCCCCCCCCGATGGGGGCACCAGCGAGTGTGGAGGTGAGGATCGGACCCAGACATGATGGCGTCGTAAAAAAGTCAGGACGGGCGGTTTTTGAATATTTTCGCCCTCTAGAGGTCCTCGCCGGGCCTCGGGACCGTCAAAAAACGACTCAGGACGAAAAACCGGTCCCGGGGAAAGGGTCGGGACTTGCGGGGACGCCGTCCTGAAAAAATCAGGACGTCGCATGTCTGGGGACGATGCCCAGGCGAGGATCGAATCGTAATGCGGGATGACGACTAATTAAGACATGGGAGGGAACGGTTCAAAAACAGTTCCCTGCTATCTCTGCATCATTTTCGGACTGGAGGCGAACGATAAAAAGAGTAGTTTTCCAGCCCGCGGCCGGTTTTTTCTTATCGTCAT